AAGTTTGAGACTCCCCCACTTGTCTGTCTAAGCCAAAATTAACATATGTTAGGTCAAAATAGTATAAGCCAAAGCAGCATCAGTAGCATATGAAAACTAAGTTTAAGGCTAGTTTTATGTAAATACCCCTTGTTAAAGCTACAGGCCAAAGTTAGCTCCGCTAGGCAAAGTCAGCACATCTACCCAGAGATAAAACAAAAGAACTCACTAATTGACAGACTCAGCAACTAAAACAAAAACCCATGGTTTTTTTTAAGAAAGGAAAAACCTGACTGGTGAATGACAGGATGAACAAACCTGAGGGTTCCAGAGAAAGATTAACCACCTTGGCTGGGAGCTCTTATCTAAAGCAACAGGTAGCTTTCAACTACAAAGAGTTTCTCATCTATGTGCTGTTGACTATGAAAAACTGCTAATAAAACATTCTGTGTTGTCTCCTGAGCTACAAAATCATCTTCCTTTCCCATATAGATCATAGATTCACCTTCTATTGTTGTAATATATGGATAGTCCATGTATTAACTGTGTCTTTACTTAACAAGACAAGATCTCTATCTAGGTCTTTGCAACCAGCAATGTTATCGCCCTGGCCCGGCCCCGGGACTGAAACTATCAAACATCCTGCAAGCCCCCTCTTCAAAAGACCCTTCCCAGTAATCAAGATCTAAGAAGAAGATACAACAAACAAATGGACTTCCTCATCCTAAAAACTGTGATTGATTTTACCTAATCTGACAAGACAAACAGCATGTTTTATAATTATTGCTTCCATGCTTTGTATACCCTGTTCCTTAGAGTAAATCTTTTACTGCCCCTCACCCATTTACTTGCATGTATCACATTTTCAATAAAAAGGCACAATAATTCCTAGCAGTTGTCACTCCTCAGAGAGAGATCTTTGAGGGGTGTCCAGCAAAGGACGTGCATGAAAAGGCACCAAGGCCTCTGTCTTCTGTTCACCTTCGCCGATTCCGTCGAGATAACCCACCCATGGTGAGGCTGGTCCCCAGCACAGCATATTCAGGGAAGTCTCTGGACACAAACCTGAAACTTTTCCATGTGGTCAGCCTCATGGAGTACTGTGTTGTACTGTTGTGCTGCCCGCTGTGTGCACCTTCTAAAGTTCTATTTCGAGAGAGAGAGAGAGAGAGAGAGACTATTTCTTAAAATTACATTCACATGAGTTTTAATGATTATTTATTTTATAGTTTTAAATTTACATTTAATCATTACACATCTTTTTTATTTTTTAAGAGAGAGTTTTGCTATAGGGCATGTGCATTCACCAGAGAGACAGAGAGAGAGAAAGTGAGAAATCATCCCCCACCACCACCCAGAGGGGATGGCCATGCTGTAATCCCTATTCCTCCATTCTCCTCTTGGGATTTTTGAGTATACTCACACATACAAATGCTAGTGTGAGCTTTAAGCTGCTGGGTCCAAGACTCGAACTGCAGTTCACCACGTGGGAGTTCAGCAATCTAACCATTACAGTATCTGCTGGTCCCAATTATTGAATGTCTTCACAGTGTACAAAATGTTTTTTTTTCCAGCATGAGTGCCTTGTATATCAATCAAGTCAACAATAATTTTTAAAGCAATAATGTTAGACAACACTCTCATTCAGTCTTTGCAAATTAAACCCAAGAGCACCATTTTCCCCCTGAGGTTTATGTTATCCAAACTAATGATCTGTTTTTAATAATATTGTGATAAATTATCCAGAACATGGAGGCAGAGAAATGACCTAATCATTCTTTATTGTATGGTACATAAAAATTGGCTGTAATTCCTCACCGCCACCATTCACTTTTTTTTTTTTTTTGCTATCGGGGGTGGGGCCTC